TTTTTTCAAAACTTGAAATTGAGGCAAACTCCTTCATAAAACTACTTTGACTGGCTCATAAAATCCAAGTCCTCTAGAAAAAACTTTTGTAAAGGTCCCCAAGTATTTATAATTTGGAAAGTAAATAAATCTTCATTACATAAAATCTTCTTTTATAGAAACCCTGAAACCTCTAACTTTACATAGTAGTGATAGCTAGATCATTTTCAAGTCTATTTTTCCAGATTACTAATGTTCAGTATACAGCATCAAATAGTAAAATTTATTTAGAAAATATCCACTAAAGTTAATAAGAGAGATCACCAGGGGAAATGGAGAGTTATTGCTTAATGGTTACAGAGTTTCTATTTGGGGTAATAAAAAGTTTTAGAAACAGACAGTAGTGATGGTTATACAACATTGTAAATGTAATTAGTGCCACTGAATTGTAAATTTAAAAAAGGTCAACATGATAAATTTTACGTTATGTATATTTTACAATTTTAAAAATACAAATAAATAGTAATAAATAAATCATATTTGGCAGAACACTGAACTTTTTACTTAAAAATTGAATAGATTTTAGTGAGGGCCATTAGATAAACAGTAATAAGCAAAATACACTGAAAATCAGAATAGTTTTCTTCTGATTTCTGTCTTCACAATGGTTTACTTCTTAGAGAAAAAAAGCCTACTTTATATGACTTACAACCAGAATGAAACAGCCTATTAAATAGAATACCTGACTAGATCTCAACTTCTTATTTTCCAGGTGGCTCTTCTCCTGTAACAGGGCCTCCTTCTTAGAAACGATGGCCTCCCGCTTCTTTAGGTCTTCTTCCAGCTCCTCTAATTCTTGGCGTTGGTTCAGAACTTTCTCTACTTCTTCATCTAACCATTTCTTTTGCTCATCCAATTTCTACATTAAAATTACAAAGAAATGTTATTTTTTTCCTTCTGCCATAAAATGTATAAGGTAATATAACTTCAGATTGGCTGAAAGACCTTAAATGAACATGTGGAAATAACAAAATAGTGTTCATGTCTAAAACTGTCTAGAAGTGAGTGGTTCCACTTAACATCTTGCTGTGTTGTTTAATAAGGAATTAAAAGTTACTCTCCAAATATATTTGAGTCTGAGAATTTTTAGGCTGACCAAGAAAGGGGTGACAATTTCTTTACATATAGTAAAAGTTCGTTCTGAGAACAAGCTAGGAATCTTTTTCTCTGTTAAAGAGGTGCATACCTCCACCACAGCACTTACACTCCTAGTTTCCCAACTTGAGATTCTTGATTGAATACGGGACTGTACTTCTCACCTTTGTATCCCCAAAACTTGACCCATGACTGGCCTTCAATAAAATGTTAAATGAATGACTGAATGCCTGATTCAATCAACTAATAGATGAAGTGAATAAATGAATACACACAGTGGAAGACACTGATGATGGAGCATAGAAACCCACTCTGCACTGTATCCTGTCAACATCAAATAATTATTCAGTAAAATACAGTCAGAAAGATTTCCAAAGCAAGCATCTTAATACTCTCTTGAATTAGGGATACCCAGAAGCAAGAACAAAAATATGAAGGGAATATGACTGTTCAAGATGAACTCTACTAAGCACTCATTTGAACTATGTGTTCATAGTAATGAAGCAATGCCAACTAAACAACAAATAATAGATATAAAATCAATATAGTACTATTTTCCAGTTCTTTTCAAGCTTGATAAAAAGTGGTTCCTAGAAATCTACATTAAGGCAATGAGATAGAAAATATGCATGAGAAAAAAAGAGCAAAGTGGCCACAGCAAAGTTGGTCCAGAGCTATGAGTCAGTCTTCTATCCACAACTAAAGAGTATGGTCCTATAGCATTATCACATCAAACCACAATGAAGCCTAAAATAGCGCTACAATTTTAAGAAACAGAAAGGATATCCAGAGCAATATAGAAATACTTTATTTTTGTTATATCCAGCTATACCATAGAAAGTCCATATATGAGACCCTATGAGTTTAGCAATTAAACATATTCTATAAACATTCCTTGACTATGAGTTGGGTTTGAAAGATGAACAATAGAGCTTTTTAAAGCTCCATTCCAACAGGAGAGAAACCAAAAAATTATTGGTGATAATAAATGCTAACTCCTAGGTACCATGTAAGCAAAAATGGAGAGGGATTGGCTTTGTCTGGAAATGGAAGAAAGACAATGCCAGTCCTACAGAGTAGGTAATATTTTAGCTATGCTTTGAAGAATAGGTAGGAGTCTGCTAACATAAGTTTTTTAAGGAAATAATAATAGATTTTTCTGCATTTGATATAATAAGGGTTATGATTTGTGTAATTCACTGTATCTTTGTTTTCTGAAAACTTCTTGATTTGTTTTTTCTCTTTATAGCAAAAGTTCCTACCACACAGTTTTAATTTTAAATACTTTCTTCTTATACAGGGACTTTATATGAAGTCATTGTCCTATAATAAGCTCTCTGGATACTCATATTGATTAACTTATAATCTTGTCCTTGTTTAGAGTCAAATTCTGGAAAATGTTTGTTTTACAACATTAAAAAACATTAAGTTTTGTGTGTATTTTTCTTAACCCAAAACAGTCAGTGCAAGCATAGTAATCTTTTTATTATTGTGCTTGCTTAAAATTTAGATCCTTAACATTTTGAAAAAGCAGATCTCACTATTCTGCATATTCCTACCTCTCCTCCTCCCCTCACACCCTTTCCACCCAGAAATGCTCTTTAACCAATTTCTAAAACATACTAGTAAAATAAATAACTGGGAATACAGTAAGTCCTCACTTAACATCATTGGTAGATTCTGCAATTTTCAGCAAAACTATGTATAATGGAACCAATTTTACTATAGGCTAATTTATATAAACAAACGTTAACTTCCCAAGGCATCTTACCAACATTACAATGAGCAATGTTGAATAATATGATTTTATTCCAGGACCTGCTGTATATTCATGAAATTTTACTATTAAAGTGTAAAATTCAGGAACAGAGAACAAATAAATTTTTCAGAATCAAGATGATGTATATGCATTTGAGTGTAATTACAATTGTTTTTTGTTTTGAGAGTGAGATTTTATTTTTTCTTTATTGATTAAGGTATTACACATGTGTCCTTACCCCCACTTCATTGCCCCTCTACAAGTACAGTAGTTTTCTGTAAGATTTTTAGAACTGCCATTTTGAATTTCCATAAAATTAAAATTTTGTTTCTTTGAACTTTCATAGTAGTTTATGAATTTCATTTTTTAAATGTGGCATTAGTCCTGGTGATTTTGCCCAGTGGATAGAGCATTCCTGGCCCCCAGTTGGGATGGATGCAGGAGGCAACCAATCAATGTGTATCTCTCACATAGGTGTTTCTCTCTCTCTCTTTCCCCCTCCTTTTCACTCTCTCTAAAAATCAATGGAAAAAATATCCTCGGGTGAGAAATAAATAAGGCACTAAAACAAACAATAGCTTCTTAATATATTGTATATGGTGCATATAAAATGAATGAGGAGCTCTGATTTTTAGAAATACATATTTCCATGGGAATAAGTCAGTTTTGACATGGGAATAAATACATTCTGGTGAACATGGATTTCATGTTTACATTCCACATGAAATAAATTCATATCTGGATAAGAAAATAATTTTACCCTTAAGTTGCAAAATCTAGTGTTTGAAGATTTTACTCAGAGTTCACCATTTTTTACCTCCATTTAGACAATCATCAAATAGAAGAAAAACCAAAAAACACTAAATAGAATTGACAAACCTGGAGCTGGTCTATACTTCCAAACAAACCTTTTCTTCTTTCCATCTTAAATGCATCTAGGTCCTCAGTTTTCAGTTTCAGACCTTCTTCCAGTTCTGTTTTTAACTTTAGTTCCTACAGAAGACAGAAATCAGAAATACCTTATGGCTTTCATAGTGGCCAATGATTACTATGAAAATAATTATTTGCTTTCTTAGTTGCAAAAAGAAAGTGAGTAGATGAGGTCGGGGCCATTTGAAAAGAAAATAACATTAGCCCCTCACTGAAGCAATAAAATCTTATAGCAAAAAAATCAGGCTTTACTAACAAAACTAAGGGGTGTGTGCGTGTGTGTGTGTGTGTGTGTGTGTGTGTGTGTGCGTTTCATTCTTTCCCAGTGTTACAAATTCGTGTAACAAGGATGAGTCTGAAAATTATAAATGTGCTTTTCTCTTGTGCCTTTCTGAACTCATTACCCTTAGTCCATTCAAGGCACCAATCTGTCATGGGGATATTAGGATTTATGACAATAGAAATGTAAAAAGTAGCAGTCTATTTCTGGCATTCAAAAATCAGATTTTGCAGCCTGAGAATAGCCTTCCAAAAACAGATCATGGTCCTGTGAAGGGTATTTTCCAAATTCCTTTAGTTTCCATCCACATCTTAAGGGTCACATCAGAGAGGCCCGTTGCTCACAGTGCTCTCCAGGTTTAGAGAAGATGCCTCTGTCACCACTACAGCTTAGCAGGAATCAGGAAGGAGGTCATGAATCAAAGGGCTAGTCCACATACTAACTCCATGGTCCATGATAGAGAAGTACAGACATGGAGTGTGTTTAGAAATTTATAGCAATTTGACAGAATAATTTTATATCTGTTGAATCTAATAATTAAAAGATGGACTTTTATACTTTAATCTTTATTAAAATAGTTCATGTTTTTAAAAAGTATTGGGCTGGCCCTAGCCGGTTTGGCTCAGTGCATAGAGCATCGGTCTGTGGACTGAAGGGTCCGGGATTTGATTCTGGTCAAGGGTACATACCAAGGTTGCAGGCCCTGGCCCTGGTCAGGGAGTATGCTGGAGGCAACTAATTGATGTGTTTATCTCACATCAATATTTCTGTCTTTCCCTCTCTCTTCCACTCTCTCTAAAAATCAATGGAAAAATATCCTTATGTGAGGGTTAAAAATATAGATATATTGGGCTGTGATATATTAATAATAAAATAAAAATTGTACCTTTTCCACAGGTAATTTCAGAAGTACTGATATAAAGGAAGTAAAAAGGAAGTCTACCATTTTCCAGCCCTGGGAACAGCAGAAAGGAGAAAAGAGACAGTAAGAAAGATGTGTGTCCTGCCCTAGCTGGTATGGCTCAGTGGTTAGAGTGTCGGCCCACAGACTGATGGGTCTCAGGTTCGATTCCAGTCAAAGGCCCATACCTCAGTTGCAGGCTCGATCCCTAGCCCTGGTCTGGGTGTGTGGGAGAGGCAACCAATCAATGTATCTCCCTCACATCAATGTTTCTCTCTTTCTATCTTTCCCCCTCCCTTCCACCCTCCCTAAAACCAGTGGGGAAAAAAATACCCTCAAGTGAGGATTAACAACAACAAAAAAAAACGTGTGTCCCAATTTTCCTCTCTTAAGTTTTGGCTCAGAAAGGGAGTGTAAGTAAAGGTATCACTGAGGGTGGAGGGAGAGAGAATGTAGAGTGCAGAGGCTCCACTCCCACATGGGATTGCCCAGCCTTGCTGAAAGAGCAAGGTACAGTCAGGAAAGAGACTAATTGAACCCCTCAGCCTCAGGTGGCAGGGACCCTGAGTTGGGAGCCAATGGGGGTCGGTTATCATGGAGAATTGACCTGCAAAATGAAGATGAGTATAGACCACAGGGTTATTAGCAGGCTAGGTGGAAGACCTAGTAGGCTCAATAGGGATTTATAATGCCACTAGGAAATGAGATGAAGTCAAAGCACCTCCATGCTCTAAGCTGAAAGCAAGATCAGACTATAAGTCATACCAGCCATGAGTTTCATCATCAGGGGCCAGCAGGGAAAGGTTGACAAGAGCAGATCCCTGTCAGTTACATCCATGGACCAAATGAAACTCAGGGGCCCACTTCCTCCATAGGATGCAATAAAAAGCTACATACCCAACCACCACATACATTGGATTCCATCTTAGGGAGAGAAGCACAGGGTGGAAGAGGCTAAGAGTCTAAATATTCGTATTCAAGAGAGCTGAGAATTATTTAAAGGAAATGTTTAAATTCAAAGAAAAGGTTTAAACAGACTGGACATTTGGTTAATTCTCATGTTTCCAGCAATTATCATGACATGGACTGGGCAGGAGCAGGGGGTATCATAAAGAACACAAGTCTGCTATAAACTAAGTAAATGTTCTCTGCATTATGAGTGAATTATACTTACTACCCATCAATTTTTCATGCTTCCCTAGATCTAGTTCATAGTTATAGTTTGACTCCTATCATAGTCACAGTAACTTCAGGATCCTTAAGTAAAGGCACCTTATACTTGGAGCTAACTACTATTTCTGTCCTTCCACATACACTTTAAAAGAATACTGTAGTAGGTCCAATTCCTTCTGCATGTCGCAATAGACATGACTGCTTTTATTTTATATTGTAATCCCTGTTACAATATTAAAATAACTATCTGCCAGGCACTGTGCTAGCCTTTTTATATCTATTTAAGTACACTCCTTAATCCTCAGAATAATCCTATTGCCAAGGATTGTTATAAACTACATTTTATAGATGAGGAAAATGGTGCTTAAAGGAGTAAAAAGCCCAAGATCACACTATGGGCCCACAATTCCAGGAGTTCCCATATCTTTTCTTTATAGCTCATCCATGGACTTCAGTTAAGAACTGCTGCAGAAGTCATAGTATTCTCTGGAAGTGGCTTAGTTGAGTGGAAAATGGACAAAGAGGAGTGTTAGCTCCAAACAGAGGGCAAGATGGGCTTTAGGACTGTGAGCAGGTTTTCTGTTTGTGCATGAAGTAGTACAAACTTCAATATTTCCTTGGGGCACACTGTTCCTTTTTCTGGAATACTTATTCTCCCCCTTAAAGTGGGTCATTTCCCTAAAATGCAAAATATGGCTAAAGGAACAAAATTGTCCTACATAACAACATAAAAAGCTTAAGTTACAGATAGAATTACACTTCAGCATTCTATGCACTCTGACCAATAGTTTTTTCTTTTACCTAAGCATAGATTTTGAGAGTTTTGTGTCTTGTTGGTTTAGCCATGGCCTATGAGGGATTGAGAAGCTGAGACGGAAAGACCATAAGACTGACAAGCAGGCCTGACCCTTACATTGGAGGAAGGACTGTAACAAAGAGACTAGGTTACTGGCAGTAGAAATGAGAACTGAACAGATTCAAGATATTTAAAAGATATAATCTATAGGACTTAGTGATTCATTGGATATGGGTGATAAAGGAGAGAACAGAATCAAGGATGACTATCAAATTTCTAGCTTACCCAACTAAACAGATTGAGATATCATGTAAAGCACATTAGAGAAAACTATTTTCTCCTCCATGAAGGAAGCAGGGAGTGGGGACAGTAAGAAGATTATTAAGGCCTGGCTGGTTTGGCTCATTGGATAGAGCGTCGGCCTGCGGACTCAAGGGTCCCAGGTTCAATTCCGGTCAAGGGCATGTACCTGGGTTGCGGGTACACCCCCAGTAGGGGATGTGCAGGAGGCAGCTGATCGATGCTTCTCTCTCATCGATGTTTCTTTTTTTAAAATATATTTCTTTATTGATTTTAGAGAGGAAGGGAGAAGGAGAGAGAGAGAAACATCAATGATGAGAGAGAATCATTGATCGGCTGCCTCCTGCACACCCCCCACTGAGCCCGCAACCCAGGCATGTGCCCTTGGCCGGAATCGAACCTGGGACCCCCCAGTCCGCAGGCTGATGCTCTATCCACTGAGCCAAGCGGCTAGGGCATCTCATCGATGTTTCTAACTCTCTATCCCTCTCCCTTTCTCTCTGTAAAAAATCAATAAAATATATTTTTTAAAAAAAGATTATTAAGGAAGATCATAAATTTATCTATAGGATAACCTAATGAAGCTATCAATTGTCAGATATGAATCTAGGGCTCAAAGAGCAAATCTGGGATCACGGATTAAATCTGGGAGTTGTCAGAGTTTAACTGCAGCCATGGAAAAAATTAGGTCACCCAGGATAGAATATAGAAGATGAGGGCACATGCTAGAGCCTGGAAGAATTCCCATATGTAAAGGACTGATAGTGTAGGATGAGCTAGTCAAGATAGACAATAAGCAATCAATCAGAAAGAGAAAAAACAAGGAGAGAATAATTTCACAAAGGCAAAGAGGGAAATATTTCAAGATGGAGGGAGTAGTGAACAACTGTGCTAGATGCAAGTGAGGTGGTGTTACCCTTTGTACGCCGTAAGTGTCTATAGATTCAAGCAAGATAAAGGTGTCGTTGGATGTGTGGCAGTTAACTGGTTAAGACAAGGACTTTAGAGACAAAGAGCACTAGTAAACTGAGAGCTTTGAAATGGATGGTAAAGCTGGGAGCCAAAAGCCAGACTAGAGAGGATAAGAGAATGAATGGAAGCAGAGAAAACAGAAACAGATACAGTAAACTTTTCCAACAAGTTTGGTTATAAAGAAAAAGAGAGTAGTATAAGACAGAAGGATAATTTTAGGATGAATAAAATCTAAGGTATTTAAAGAAGGATTCTAGAAGAAAAGGAAAAGTTGGAAATATAGAAGAATTAAATATGTTAACGCACATAAGTGCTTAGCATAGATTAACTGAGGATACTCAATAAATGTTAACTACTGCCATAATAATAATTACCATTATGATTAAGAATGAGTAACTCAAAGAAATTAAGAAAATTCCATTTATAATATCATCTAAAAGAATAAATATCTGGGAATAAATTTAACCAGGGAAATAAAAAACTACTACACTGAAAATTATAAAACCTTGCTGAAAGAAATTAAAGACCTAAATAAATGCTCATGGATAGGAAGACATTATATTGTCATATTAATACTACACTAAGAGATCTACAGATTCAAAGAAATCCATATCAAAATTCCAATGGCTTTTTTGCAGAAATGGAAAAGTTGATCCTTAAATTCATACTGAATTGCAAGAGGCCTCAAATAGCAAAAACAATGTTGAAAAGAAAGAATAAAGAAAAGAACTTACTACCCAATTTCAAAACACTGCAAAGCCACAGTAATCTGGCATAAGGACAGATATATATATATATATATAAACAGAATAGAATTGAGAGTTTAGAAATAAATCCATAAATTTATAGCCAATTGATTTTTGACCAAGGTATAAAGTCCACTCAATGGGGCAAGAACAGTTTCTTCAACAGATGGTTCTAGGACAGTTGGATTTCCACATGCAAAAGAGTAAAGTTGGACCTCTATTTCACACCATATACAAAAATTAACTAAATATAGATCAACGACCTATTAAATATAAGAGCTAAAGCCATAAAATTATTTTAAAAACCCACAGGGGTAAGTCTTCACGATCTTAGATTTGGCAATGGATTGTTAGATATGACACCAAAAGTACAAGTTACAAAAGAAAAAATAAATTGGATTTCATAAAAATTAAAAACGTTGCTGCATTAATGAGTATTACCAAGAAAGTTTAAAGACAACCTACAGAATGGGATAAAATATTGGAAGTCATATATCTGATAGAGTTTAATGTCTAGACTATATAAAGAACTCCTACAACTCAACAACAAAAGATAAACAATCCAATTAAAAAGTAGACAAAGTCTCCTTCCATCACCATTTATTTCCCCTTTACCTTTTCCTACCTCCCTTTACCCCCTTCCCTTCTTGTAATCACCATGCTGTTGTCTGTGTCTGAGGAGTTGTTGTTTTGTTTTTTGGTTTTTTGGTTTTTTTTGCTTAATCCCTTCACCCTTTTCACCCTAATTTTATTAACCAATGTCACCCCAATAAATTCAATTAAAAATTAAAATAAAAACCGGCTGGAATAGGAACAAAAAAAAAGTAGACAACGAACCTGAATAGACATTTCTCCAAAGAAGATATACAAATGGCCAATAAGCACATGAAAAAATGCTAAACATCATTAGTCATTTGGGAAGTGCAAATAAAAACCACAATGAAATATCACTTCACACATACTTGGATGTCTACAACAAACACACACACACAGAAAACAACAAGTGTTAGTGAAGATGTGGAGAAATTAGAACCTTTGTACATTCTGGCAAGAATGTAAACTAATGCTGCCTCTATTGAAAACAGTTAGTGCTT